ATGCTATTTGCATCCTCTGTAGTAACTCTGCCTTATAGTCGTAAGCTATTGCATGACTATTTTTCTTAGAAGCCAATATCTCCTGCATAGGTAAGATAACATCTCTACCATGCAATAGAAAGAATGGACTTTCCTGAGTTGACTCGTTCTCAGCACTTATATATACTAACAATAACAAAGGGATCTGCTCGTCCCAAGTCTTTTGATCCTTCTCAAAATATTGAGAGATCATATCTAACAAAGTTCTATTAAATCTTTCTACTAAACCATTAGCAGCTGGATGATAAGCTATGGTTTCGATTTTATTTACACCTAATAATTCACATACTTCCTTCATTAACTTAGAAATGAAGTTACTACCTCTATCTGTTAATAGATATTGGGGTATACCATGTCTAGCTACTATGTGATTTACAAAAGCTTTAGCTATCGTTTCTGCTTTCTGATCAGGCAAGCATACAGCCTCCGGAAACCTAGTTAAGTAGTCTGCGACTACTAACACGTATTTGTTTCCTGCATAGGATGTAGGCAAGAGGCCTAATATATCCATGGCAACTAGCTGAAACTGTGTAGTTAAACTCGGCATTCTTTGCAAGGGAGCGTTTCTTGAATAGGGGCTAGTTTTTCGTCTCTGGCATTCTAGACAGGACTGCCAATACTCTTTAATGTCTTTCCGCATATTTAACCAAAATAATCTCCTGGTTATTCTATTATACGTTTTAGCAAAAGCTAAGTGTGCTGCAAAAGGTGTGTCATGATAAGTTTTCATGACATTTGTTCTTAGTTTAACCGGTAGGACTATTTGTAAAGTCCTACTGTCCTTAACTTTTCTACATAAAACATCAGAATCTAACATGTATTCTGTTTCATCTCCTTGTATTACTTTAGTGCGTAAGTCATTTATTTCTGGATCTTTCTTTTGTTCACTAATTATATGGTCTAAGTCCCAAATTACTTCTAATTCATTTTCATGCTTGTATTGTACTTCTTTTATCTTATTGTTTGTTTTTCGACAGTTCCGTTATTTTATACTCTGATTCTACTTAAAGCATCTACATTAGAATGTTTTTTACCTGGTCTATGTATTATTTCAAAGTCATAATCCTGTAATAGCAAAGACCATCTAGCTAATCTAGAGGAAGGGTCTTTTAACGTCATTAACCATTTTAAAGGTGCATGATCTGTAATAATGGTAAACTTTCTGCTGTATAGATAACAACGAAAGGTTTTAATTCCATGTACTACAGCCAAGCACTCTTGTTCTGTAACTGAGTAATTTATTTCAGCTTTTCCTAACTGTCTACTTTGATAAGCTATTGGGTGTTCTTTACTGTTTTCATCTAACTGTGATAATACTGCACCTATAGCGAAACCTGAAGCATCTGTGCTTAAAATGAATTCTTTACTAAAATCTGGGTAGCTTAGGATTGGTGCTTTTAATAAAGCTTCTCTCAGTTTGTCGAATGCTTCCTGTCTTTTATCTGTCCACTGATATTTTGTTTCTTTCTTAGTTAACTCAGTTAGAGGTTTTGCTAATAAAGCAAAATGTGGTATAAATCTTCTATAGAATCCTACAAATCCTAGAAATGCGCGAATATCTTTTACTGACTTAGGCACTGGGTAATTTCTACAAACTACTAACTTTTTAGGGTCTAGTTTCACACCATCTGCAG